AGTGAAAAGGTGTTTGCTGTCTTTGTTGTGATTAAAGTAACTGAAGGCTTTATTTTCATGGAGATGCAACGACCTACGTGAGAATTGGTACTCCTACCCCTATCACTGTAAGGATGTGAGGCTTACATGGAATGGGGAAATCAGTACTGGAAGCTGGAGCAAGGACGGTAGCAAGTAAAAGTTTAGTTAGACGAAGAACATGTTGGTCACATCGGAATAAAGAAATAATTAAGAAAGAAATGAAGAAGAACGTTATAAGAAAGCAGTATATTTTTAGGATTGCATTTGTTTTGAACTCTGAATCTCACACACTGGCATCTAGTGTAATGCTTGTTGTTGTTTTTCAGTTGTCTCTAGAAGGACTGTAGGCTGGTTCCTACTTTTTTGTTGTGGAATATAAACGGCATAAGGAGTTTGAGCTGTTGTTGTCATGCATTAGTGATTGCCCTTAGCTGTGATATGAGAGTGTAATTATTATACATTATCACCACACCCTCTGATCTAGCCTTCCCTTTGTGCTTGACTTTGTACTTGCACGATTTGAAAAGGCCCTTCGGGTTCAGTACGACTTGGGCCTTCACCACACAGGTAGAGTCGAACTAATTATGCTAATAAGTTGCATTATGGGAGATGTGGTATTCAGTGCTTTTGGACCTTGAATTCTACCAAAAACTAAAAGTCAGGATATCTCGAACTCTGCTGCACAGACTGTCTCTGGTGCGTCCTCTAACCTTCTGGAAGTGCAAAAGTCAATCACAACTTTAGTCCACAAAGAATATTTAATCGCTAACTTGATTGCTATGACCTCAAACGAAGTACGATGAAGAGGAATCGTTATCAATCAACACATTCTCACTCCCAAATACCGACCCTTGGTCAGTGGTGGTGCTCTTTTTATGTACCACCCACCAAGAGACTAACAAGACGAAATGACAAAAAGAGAAAAGGAAAATGTGCATATTATATCAGTCTTTCACCTATCGTCCCCGTCTCATTTACTGATATACCCGTTTCTGAACTCTGTGTGTGTGCGTGTGTTTGTGTGTACTGTATATGCCATTTTTCTCACCTCAGATTTTTCCAGAACAGGGCGGTTGTCGTTGATGTCCAGGACCTTGATCTCCACAGTTCCTGTCCCTGTTAGCCCCCCTACTGCCCCTCCCAGATCAGTCCCTTGTACAACCAGTTTGTAGAAGTCATGAGTCTGTCGGAGGAAGAACAGACACATTCTTCTGTTGTTGGATGAAGTACGTACTGTGCAGGCTTTGACAAAAGTCAGCCGACGTGTCTTTACAGGGTGACAAAGTACCTCAGGGCAAAACAGTGCTGCTGTAAAACTTGCTTTGATTCCACCTTGAGGCTAAATTTCAGATGACATTTTGCTCCAACTGATGTTCCCACAATTCAAATGATGTAAAAGTGTGATTGATGATTGATTGTCATCTACAGGACGAGACCAAGGTTGGTAAATCAAGGGAACCAGTCAGCAGTTCATTTTGGAGGTTGGATGTTGTGAGAGGTTCAAATGATGAGAGACAGAGAGATGAGGGACTCATTTTTACTCCTCATCAAACTTCTGAATTCAATTTGAATCCGACTTAATTTCCCCCGTAAGAATCATCAGATACCGACGCTCAGTCAGTGTCCCTACACTACACACTATGACGCGCTAGGTTCCCCTTTAGTGTCACTTTTGGACGTGTCACGGACAGCGGGTCAGTCACCACTCATTACAGTGTTAGTGTCTTTTCAAAATAAACTTCCATCGTAGGTTTACTTAGGTTTTAGGGTTACTTGAGTAGTTTTAGGCTACAAAAGTACTTGGTTAGGTTTAGGAAAAGACTGGTTGCCAGTTAAATAAATGAGTGAAGTAACAATAGTAAGCTAAAATAAGTCAACTTTGACTTGGGTCGTGGTTACGCTTGTCTTTTCAATGTGACCTTTGTCATTTAATCACGGCAGGACTCATTAACCTCAAGTCTGGACCTCTGCATTGGGATCCGATCACACAGACCACATGCTGTGATGGCCTGCCTCGCATTGAGTTGTGATCTCAGTGAGGTGTGGTCAGCATGTGAGCACAAACTGGACAATTTATCAAACGTAGGTCTCCATCATCTTCCCCCCACACGGGAGCTCCTCTCCAGAGGAGAGCAAAGAGAAGAGAGGAGGAAAACCAGGACTGGAGCCCAGCTGAGACCTGCTGTCTGAGTCCTGTTATTGCTAAGTTAAGTTATTGCTAATAAAAACACATTTACTGATTTTGCTGTTTCAAAATAAAAGCTTTTAAATAGCAAAATAACGGGACTTCTATTGTGAAGGATTTATAGAAAACGAAATGTGTTCATCCCCCGCGTCTAATAGCCGCTCCTTTGACCACAAAATATTATGAAGTATGGACACGTGTGAGGACACAGCTGAGTTCTGATCTGGTGCATCTGATCTCAAAGGTGAACATGAACGGCTGTCTCCTGGGTGAAAGTTTATTATCCACCCCGACCTCCTCCCTAAGCTGACTTTCTCTCTCTTTATATACATCAGTCGCTCTGAGCGTCTACAAATGACACAGAGGGATTCACACTGGAGTTAGTAGAAAGCCTACAGACGCTGAGGTGCACTCACCAAGCATTGCTATTTGATGAAATGAGAGGGAGACCGGGCTGGTCAGACAGGTCAGAGAGAGCTTTTAGCATTAGTTTTCACAAAAAGGCTGCAGCACATGTGCAGTGTGTTGTATGCGCACTGAGCCTCACCTCTCTGTCCAACGTGGCCTGTTTGACGGATAGTTTGCCTGTCTTTCTGTCTATAGTGAACATGTGACCTGTGCCCGCCGGCTCCTGGCTGATGATGGAGTAGGCGATCTCTGAATTAATTGTTCCAGGTTGGTCATCATCTTTCGCCTCGATCTGCATGACAAAGGTATCTGCAGTGGAACACAACAGCACAACACCATCTCCGGAGAATCCATCAAATGTCCTGTTCAGACAGAGTATCCACATATATATTATGTTTAGATCTAATAAGACAGATTACCGGAATGCCATTAATGAATGTTAAAGGAAATTATATTGGATCATCTGTATAGTACATAACCATCAATTATCAACCATTATCATATCCCACTCATATCATCATGCTGATCCTTGTTTTACTACTGAGTCTACAAGATGGTTTACAAAAAACTGCGTGAAAAAGTCTCTTCTCACAAACATGTAGATGCCATAAGAGAGAAGTATTTCTCTCTCTATTAAATATCCATAACTGAATCTCAAACAACCAAAGTTAAAGTTTGGCGAAAGCACATCTTTATTTAATTTTATTAGAATTGAAGACTCATGAACTCAGACGTTGCAACACATTCTCACTTGTCCAATAACAATGCTTGGTCAGTGGCCTTACGCTTTAAACTATGCCACTCTAGGTTCCCCTCTCCTGTTAGTATTAGTCTTATTACAGGCATAGTGTCTTTTCAAAATAAATTACAATGTAGGTTTACTGACGCAACAAAAGTAGTTTTTTAGGTTAAGGAAAAGATCGCGGATGCTTGGGTTAAAAGTCACATAAAATAAGTTTGTTTTGCGGATGTACGTAGTGTTAGTTAACTGCATAAGTTATGCAAAAGAGAGTCAGTCAGTATTTGACTGGATTGGGAGTGAGACCGGGTTGGACAATCTACTTCATCAGCACTATGTGGGTGTGCTTTACATTTGATTGACAGCACTGGCAGCATAAACAAACAATGTTGCACCTGTTGCACATCTCTGATCGTATCCATCCTTTATAGAAAAAGGCTGATCTAGAAAGTGTTTAAACAGTGACAATACCTGCTTTGCTAGCCTCTTCGATGTGGCCAGAATGCATCTCAAAGCGAGGAGGGTTGTCATTCTCATCCAGGACTGTGACAGTCAGCGGGATGTCATCCTCTGCTGTGGTTCCATCTCTGTATTTAGCGATCCCTGTCAGCTGCATGAAGGACATAACGAAGTGAGACAAGCTTAGTCATGTCTGTGAACAGATTTTGTCACCGGGACAGCATCCCAACCCTGTAACATGCAGCCATGAGACTTTACAGGTGTGTAATTGAGATCAGTTCTACACTTGCACCAACTGCAGCCCATGAGCATAAGAGCTGCAGTTTATTATAGCTGCTGTTACCTCTGACAACATTAACTTGTATAGCTTTGTCAACAGAGATTTAATCTACATCATATTACTGTCACAAAACGTCGACAGCCAACTGAAATACATGTATATGGGAGCTGCAACACAACTCAGACGTCAACAGGTTTCAGTCCACACAGTACAGCACGAGGCCTTGAACTTATCTAAAGAGAGACTTACATTGTAGGATTGGCAATCCTCCCGGTCCAGAACCTTAGTGATACGTACAAACCCTGTGTCAGGGTCCACCAAAAAGAGGTTGATGGGTGGCTTGTCAGCTCCTGGTCCTTTGAGAAAATAATGCACCTCCCTATCTGAGTCTCTATCGGAGCGAATCTGGCAACAAAACACAGACAGAGAATTTAAGGACTTTTAAACACTGCTTTAGTGTTGAAATATGACACGTCTCTTGGCTACTGTTGAATGGCACTGTAAACACGTTTTCATTCATTGCTATGAAGCAAAAGCCAACCAAAGTCGCGGTAAAAATAAACAAATAAATGCTGCGCCATGAGGTGCTAGGCTAAGCTAGCGGGTTCAAGTGAATGTGTTCTGAGCTAACACAATTAGCATTAGGGGATGACACCTGCTATTAGCCAACTGTTGGAGGGCTAAACTAAAGTAAAGTTGTTTGACAACTCAACTCAAATTCCCTGTAGTGTTAAAGCACTCTGAGTGGTCGGAAAGCTACACAAGTACCGTCCATTTAATACTGAAGCAGTATAAGTTATGTTTTGTCAGATATTGTATTTCATTGGTATATTGAATCTAAATTTTAAAAAAGAATAGAAGACAACATTATTTTGTCAAGTGTACATTGAAGTTTTTGTAATTCATGTAACATTGTTTTGCTTAAATTTAAAAAGTGTATAGGAGTAGAAAATAGAAATGTATCTTCACTTTACTCAGGAATGAATTTACTGTAAAGGTTATTTAAAATATTTTAAGTTCCATGTGTATATTTTGTTGAAGTTAAATACAAATAAGAATCCCTCACTAATAAGACAGACATTTGAGCAGTTGATTAATAGACAGTTCTGGCCATGTCAAGGACTGCAGGTCAGGTTTTTTTATCGATTCGAAGTTGATGGCGAGCCAACCCAGACGAGACTTCTAGATTTCTGGATGATTGATTCCTCTGATTTCAGAATCAGCTTTATTGGCCATGTATGTGTGCGCATACATGGAATTTGACTCCGGTTACACGTTGCTCTCATCGTACATACATACATAGAATATACAATAAACAAGAGAAATATAAAAACAAGGACATTAAAGACAACAAAGTAGAACAGAGAAACATAGCATAAACATTTAACATTTAAGTACTATGTACAATATAAATATTTGAAGATTTGAAGAGCTAAGAGCCAGAACTGCCAACCTTGCCCCTCTCCTGCCACATCATAACCTGCACAAGGCCAGCACAACTCTTACACTCAGCACCACTTTGACGACCCCAGATTCCAGACTCTGACTTTACTCTTTTGTTTTACTTGACTTTGAAAAGACACTTACCTTCTTCTTCAAACACATTCCCTGTGCCTGACTGAGTTGTAACCTTCACTGGTTTAACTGACTGAGTATTCATATTATTGTGTCTTGGTTTAAGGTGATTTTGTTATTGCTGATGCAGTGAATAGTGAATTATTGTAAGGTTGACGTAAATTGTAAAGAGATACCTACCTAATGTTGGATCCAAGTATTGAGAATTGAGATTCTGAATAACCTGTTTTAGAGTGCATCCAGTTAGACAGAAAAGAAGTTGAAAAGAACTCAGTGGTTGAAAACCTAAGAAAAGACAGACCAGTTCATAACCCTTTGTCTTGTGTGGTCATTGAATATTGAAAACACCTTTTCTGCCTCCTGTTTGAGTCTAGTATCCTCTGATTCTGGTGCAGTATAATTGTAATCTTTACTACATCACGTGGCCTCTTGCTTAATTGTCTGGCTTTTAAAAGAACAGTGAATTAAAAGATTTCAGCCCAGGGACAAATTCCCCAGTGGTATAGCTGAGGGCTAGAACTGACAGAAACAACATGTTATCGGATTAATCCCTCCAGGTTTATTGGCAGACCATCCAATGATGTGACAGAAAGCAGCTCCTGTTATTCCAGTTTACATTGACACATTCTGATGCCAATGGGAAAATTAAAGGAAATAAGATTTGAATGTCTAAAGAGCCAAATCACCTTGGCAATGAATTTCTTCTCTCTGTAGTCAACGTTCTCCATCAGCTTGGCAGGAGGAAAGATCCACTCTCTCTTCTTCCTCCTCAGCACCTTTGGCGTCTTCTCTCTTGCCTCAGCACTGAGCATCTGAAAGCAAACAGCAGATGTTCACTTGCTTTTAATGGAGACAGTAGCAGTACAGTGGGCAGTGCTGTACGGTATATGTTTTTGGACAGAAAGAGCTTTTTCATAGTTCTAAGAATCCCTTTTATTATTGTTTAACATTCGTAGTTATCAAAACGCAGTTTTGAGGGACATCTTAAGCTTCTATTTCAGAGTAGGTACTCTCCCAGTCCAAGAGGGAGTGACCTAAAGTGTACGATGGATAGTCGAGCACATGACAGACAAAGAGACAGACACAAAACATGGAAGAAAACACGACCAAATGGGCCGACAGCAAAGTTTAGAACAGGGATCACTAATAGGCGGACCTCGGTCCAGATACGGACCCAGACGCTGTCCTATCAGGACCTATAACGGATAATTGAGAATTATACATTTTGGCGGAGTGCTTCTATTTTACCCTGTGTAGCTTTTCTAGCCTTTATAGCACTCGTTCAGCAGTCCAGGAAACACACAAACCAATTGCATGCGTTGTAAATCATCTCACGTGATGCTACTCAGCCGATCAAATATGTGTATTCCAAAATGCATCGTGAGTCAAGTGAGATTTATAGACAGACATGAGAGAGATGGGGCGAGAGAGAGAGAGAGCAATGGGAGAAGTAAGTAAGTCCGAGGAGCAGTTTCACATGGCGTGCTCTAAAAAGAGAAAAGTGAACCGCGAAAACAGAGCTTTTAAGCTTTATTTGTTCATTCTTCCTGCTGGTGCTCTGTCCACTCTGTCTCATATGTTCAGATACCGTGGCCGTTATTTAATGCGCCAATGTGAAACGCCACTACGAGACCAAACATAACTCTTTTGAGCAAACATACCCACTCGAATCTGAACTGAGGGCAAGATGTTGAGATGTGTAGAGATTGTTTATTATAAAGTTGACTGAGACCGTTATGATGTGAAATGGATTTAACAAAAGAGAAGAAAAAACTTAACTCCAGTCACAGTCTTTTTAATTTTCTTTCATTTTTCTAAAATCAAGCACTTTCTTTTAAGTTGCAAGTTTTTCAAAAGTTCTTTGTTGTGTATTATTTAGATGGATACCTTGTTATACTTGAAATGAGAGAACATTTATTTATGTACTTCTATGTATTTCTAATCCATCCAGTTAAATTTGAAAACTGAGAATAATAATTGTTAAAATATAATTGATGTGTACTTTCTTTATTTGACAGTTGTTGTTACTACTACTAGGCTTCTTGAATATGGCAATAAATAGCGCAAGTTAGATATCATTGTAATGTTCCGGACCTTTGCACAAGGAGATTTTCTCAATCTGGACCTTTTGGAATTTTAATTGAATACCCCTGGTCTAGAAGTTAATTCATGAGCACACACCCACCACAACCAAAGCCAAAGAAAGAATGAGTGACGCTGCTCAGTGAGCTATCCTATTAGCACAAAGTCTAACCTAGTAGCACAAAGGTTAGCCCAGTAGCACAAAGGTTAGCCCAGCAGCACAAAGGTTAGCCCAGCAGCACAAAGGTAAGCCCAGTAGCATAAAGGTTAACCCAGTAGCACAAAAGCTAACACAGCAGCACAAAGGTTAGCCCAGCAGCACAAAGGTTAGCCCAGCAGCACAAAGGTTAGCCCAGCAGCACAAAGGTTAGCCCAGCAGCACAAAGGTTAGCCCAGTWGCACAAAGGTTAGCCCAGTAGCACAAAGGTTAACCCAGTAGCACAAAAGCTAACACAGCAGCACAAAGGTTAGCCCAGTAACACAAAGGCTGACCCAGTAGCATTAAGACTAACCCAGTACCACAAAGGTTAACCCAACCGTACAAAAACTAAACTAGTAGCACAAAGGCTAAGACAGTTGCTTTCATCCAGGTATTTCTACATATATATAAAACAATTATATGTTAATAATTCATTAAAAAAATCAGGACATACACAGTCTTGTCAACTTGTGCTGATTATATATCATGAATATACATTAAATACAATATTATATTCTAAAATCTTGCTGAAGAGTGTGTAGAGAGAGAAAGAGGCAAGTCTAAGGTGTGATCTAGCTCCTGAGTATTAACAGGGAGCACGCCAGCACTGAATGTGAATAATGTATGGCATGCAGCACCTGGTCACACCGTGTGGAGGTAAAACACTGTTCCTCTCCCAGCATGGGGAACTGTTAAAGAGCTTGAGCCTGGACCTGGGCTGTGTGGTGATGGTGTGAAGTGTGAGGCAGCAGGTCTGCCGATATCGTCACAATGTTGTTGGAGCTGCTGGTGCTGTCGTGATTAATACTAGAGAGCATGTAGTTGGACAGCAGTGAATCGGTGCAATAAGTGGATAATGGTTTCATTAGCTACTGTATGGGCATAGCTAGCAGCGTACAGTGCGTGACACCACACATAAACTTCTTGACCTTGAGAAACTCTGAACAGAACAAACTCACATTTAAATAAACTAACAAAAGCCATAAGGATATACAACTATACGACACAGATGCAGACAATTAAGAGGGGCTGATATTTTGGCCCTCGGTGGAGGTCTGAACAAGTGCCAACTATTTAGAGGAAGGACCCTCCTGACTTGCAGGCTACTGCAAGAGAAGACAAGTTAGTACTGTTCAGGCAGAGAGGGAGGGGTATATCGAGTTATATTAGTGTTGGAGTACTCGAGAGCGGTCTTGGTCTCGGTCTCAGCATTTTTACTTGGTCTTGTCTCAATTTCAGACAAGAAGGACTCCTTTCAAGACCACAACTACGGGGGTATCACTAAACTGCCTCTGCATTGTCTGATTTATTTGTTAACACCAAACTGTGGTTGCTGATAGAGAACAAAGGTAATTTCCAACACAGAAAATTCACCTCTGCAATGCCTTTGGATTATTTCATCAAGACATTTCTCATTATGGACACACACACATATACAGTACAAATGCCATTAAAGAGGGGAATGAAGAGGAATCTGTAGCTGTTTTTATGGAAATGGGGATTGTTGTTAAAGCACTGTACAGCGTTCTCAGAATCAGTTTAGGATGTTTGTTTAAACATTCCTGAAGGGTGAAATACAATATAATATTTTGGAAGGTGGGTGAGCTACTGTCTTTAGTTTTAATAGGCTTATTTATAGGCCCCCTTTTTGCTGCAGATGGATTTGAATAAAAGTTTGATGAACTGAATGGAACAAAAAGATAAAACTGAGAGAAAAACAAACTGTAGTGGAAACGCAGATTCATCAAGACTTTTTGTCATCATAATTCTATAACATATAGTTCAATGTACATTTGTGAACCCGATCCTTTACAGATATGTCAGGCTGGATGCCATTTTGCGCCATAGCAAAGATGGCAGCCATTAGAGATATTCTACAATAACCTCTTATTCAAGGGAAACCTGGCCAGGAGGGCGTAATGTTCTACACAGCATGATAGGACCCAATACCATGAACACAATATGAGTATATTCTGTAAAACCCATTTCATTTCTAAAGGTTTTATCATTAAATCTCTTATCAAATCTTACTTTATTGTAACTGTGAATGACCTTTGAGGCCAATTTATGGGCTGCATGAATCAAATTGACTGGGCTTGAATATACATATTATCTTAACACTAATAGATGGTAAACTCTGTTCTGTAAGTTTAAAAACTTCAATGAGGTCACATCCATGTAAACACTGTCTAAATGAGCCAGACAGATAGACGCTCCTCAGCTTTTACTTCATCTAACTCATTCCACCACAGTATTGTTCAAGCGTGTCTCCAAATAGCAGCTCCAGTTTAGCGCGGCTTGACACGATATCAAAGAAGCTGGCATGAAGTGAGCTAGCAGCTTTTCATTGATTGCGGCACACTGTAGTTACAGCGGAAACAACAACAAGCACCAACTGGTTCTGTTTATCAACGCATTATTTAGTGATGCAGTGTTTCATTTATATAGTAGTATTTATGTGCAGGACTGACAATACATTTCTGACTAGCATGATTTGCAACTCTGAAAACAATTAGTTTAATTGTTTAAAACAATTAAACTGGAGCATTCATGAATCATTCCTACAGAAACGTGACTTATCACCACAAGTAATTGCATCTAACAAAGTGCAAATTAGTCCACTTAAAGTATAAATGACTCTTCTGTAATGACAGGTTCCACCATGGCCTGCAGCATGTCCTGGTGAGTCAAAGTGAAATTTAGGAGTAGCTTCAGAGTGAATACTCACCAAGGCCATCACTAACAAAAGCAGCAGGCCCACTTCTGTGAAGGAGAGCCAAGCCATGAGTTCAGTGAATCCACAGCGTACGGCAGCCTGTCCTTTCTGTGTGGAAAACCCCACTGCAGACGGGAGGTCAAAACAGTACTTAAACACACCTATGTCAGCTTCATCCCCCTCCCTCCACACCTACAACCAGTCTTACATGTGTAGACCCCTCCTCCTCCCTCCCCTAGCATCATGCATGCTTTCATAACCTAAACCGTCACATCTGTGCATGTTTTTCAAAGGTGTGTCGGATTACTGCCTTATGGTTTTTAAAGGGTACAGTAAAGCCTCAGGCACTTGATGAAGCTGACAAGGACAGACAAGTAGCGCACACTGTAAAAACATTTGATCAGGAGAAAACCTTCCACTTTCTTCAGAAAATATGTATTTTATTATTTTGCAAAAAACAGTAAAGTTACTCATTATGACGCCAGCATGAAGGGATGCTTCGTCATTAACATACAAATGCATATAGTCAAAATCAATGTAATTAAAGTTATGGCTCGGGTTCAGGAAGGTGTATTTCCAGCAGCAGCGCAAAACAGGCAACTAAATCCCCAGTAAGGGGACCCGTCCAGAAGAGTCAGCAGCACGGTGTTGCGTGCATTGTCTTGGACACATGCAGCTCCACCGCATTAATTAGCTGCGAGGTCTTCCTGGCATACTCAATCAGTATGTTACGCCCAGCCTAACCTTAGCGAGTGAACACTTAAGAGAGAGAGTGTGTGTGTGATCAAGTTAGCAGTAATGCTATAGGTGTGAACATAGCCATGCAGTGTGTGTACAATTTATTTGGCGGTGACTTAAATTGAAGGGGTTAGCTCAGAAGTTAGCAACAACTCAGGCTCACTGAAGGTGGATCAGCGCTTTTCTCCTTGAAGAGACAAGCCTTTCCTTTGAGTTTTGCTCAGTTTTGCTCATTTCGTGAGCATTTCACGAGACTGGGTTAGTAGGCCCAAGTACAGATGCAGCTTGATGCTCAGCAGCCATGTCTCCCCATACCCCTCCCAATAAACCAGCAACACTTCCAACTGAGGGAGAGGAGAGCAGCATTGAGTTGAATGAAATGTCAGTTGGTAGTAACTGAAGTTTTGGTTATGATGTATTACAGATATTATCATATTATACTATATATTATCATATGCAATGTGTATACTCTACAGTGCCAGGTCCCTCTTCAAGTGGTAAAGCAGCAAAAAAACCTGATATAGACGGGGAGACTACTGTTCGCACATTGGCCACAAGAGATGCCAACCTAGAAATGCTGCTGGAGTCAGAGGGCTAGCCAGTCCCAGAGGCCTTGCAGTATGTGAAGCTCACATGTATAATGAATTCCCAAGTCATGAGGAAATAATGCACACATTGAGACTGCTACTCGAAGTAGAAGAATTGTAGTTGCAGAATCAGATACTAACACAAACCTTTTGTAAATTAAGGCCCACATCTGATTGTTCAAATAATTCTGAGAACAACCTTGTGCTTACCCTCAATGAGACACTTGACTATTGGTTGCAGCAGTATCTCTCGGCAGATAACCACATTGCTATAAGATAAGCTCCTTAGCGTTTGTCAAGGGTTTCCTACTTCAAGCTACACTAGCAGCCACCACATAGCTTGCTTTCAAAGTGACTTTTGACTGAGTTGTTACTTGTCCGAATTAATTGTAACTGTAATTGTTTTAATCCCTCATTTAACAGGATTTCCCATCATTCAGCACGCTGTGCTGTCGCTTCTGCATCACATCCTGCAATTATAAATCCAAATCGAAGGTATTCCGGTTCGTATTTTCTCACCAAGCGTTTTGGAGCTTTCACTGGCACAGGGTTGTCTCCCACTTTACTTGTTCATTAAAAAAAAAAAATCCATTTTCAGTCACTGCACTATGAAAATAACTAGCTTTGTATATCACCAACATTTATTTTTAAATTGAATCTAACCATTTGACAGTACCTCTCCTGCCCACTAGATAGCGCTCTCAGAATAGCTGCCGAGATGTAGCACTGCACTTAGCATCAAGGAAATCGCCTTTCAGGGGTAAAACCAAAGACTTGACGATATGCACAAAGAAAACTTCCTTGGCACACTAGAGCTTGTCTCATTACGATCCACTGCTGAATGAGTACAGATTCAGTCTGACACATTCATTGGAGTTCATTGAATTATGTGGAAGATGAGTTTTGAAAAGATTTCTAAAGGAAAGGGAGGATGCCATTTATTATTCAGTCATCTGTGATGCTATAGACATAGCAGATTGTTGAGCTCAGATATAAGTAAGAACAAAGACACAGATGACTGAGAGACCACTGAATGGTTTCTTAACTTCAAGGAATTTCACCAAAATACAGGAAGTCTTGTAGGAGGTGAAAATGTGCTTCAAGACCAAAGGATTGGAGATTGGAGAGAGCAGGGATATGTCTATGGGGCAAACGTGTCCGGTACAGTCAGGGGAGTCCGAGCCCAAATATAACAAAAAAAAAGATCTGGCTACATGTTCACCTTGAGCCTCCCACACCTTAAATCTAATAGGTGCATGTCGCAAGAAGTACCAACATTTTCTGGCTGCATCAGTCATCTTTACACACTTGTTAGTCCCAGACCAGAGAAAGAGGCCATCTACAGAGAGAAAATAGGTTGCTCTTTGAATCAACTCTCCGATTCCTGCTGGACTGTAAGGGTTGAGGCTAATTCATCTGCAGCAAAACACAGTGGCATGCTGTGTATTTTATACCTGGGCCTTCAGTGTTGTCCGACTACAGTTGAACCACCTCCTAATAACCTCATTATGACGCCAGCATGACGGGATGCTTCGTCATTAACATACAAATGCATATCATCAAAATCAATGTAATTAACACAATGACAAGAACAAACTCACAAGAACCAGTCACATATATTTATATGGCAACAAAGCATGTAGAATAACATAAAACCCAAATAACACGATTCAACAGGCCTCTGCACATTCCAGCAAAACTGCGGCGCTAAAACACGCATTCAGCCACACACTCAAGATCACCATTCAAATATTATTCACATCACAGGGAACAATATTAACCATATCATAAAAACGACAAAGTAACACAGTAGAAACGCTACTGCAGATGTAAAAACACAAAAAGCAGTTCACTTACCAGAGCTGCTGTTCACTTAAAGACAAAGTCCATCCTCCTTTCTTTGTTAATAAAGAGTTTAATCTCACGGTTGTTCAGTACATCCGTGTGTTTTAGTTCCAGTAAGAAGTCCTTCTCCATTCATGGACGCAGGTGAAGACAGTCGAGCCTCCCCAGTTGTATTTCTTGAATACGTTTTAATGCGTTTGAGGGCTGAAAATGTCTGCTCGGCAGAGGCAGCTCGTATTGATACGTCCAATGTTGCTCTGGGGACAAATTTAGTCTGTGCCAGTGTTGCCAATTTGATGACTTTCTCGCTAAATCTGGCGGCTTTTTTTGTCAAAAGCTACTAGCAACAAATCTAGCGACTTGTTCTGGTGTTATTGGAGACTTTTCTGGTGTTTTGACTCTGATGTTACAGTTTTTCTCAATTGCTAAAACACTAAAACCCATTGGCTGAACAAAGTTCTCAGTTGCCTGAACTCATTTAGCTAATTGTGCAGTCTGTTGTCAATACCTTAAACTATTTCACATGGTAAAACACAATTTGCAGATCTCACTTAGACTTTTCAGCAAAACTCTAAACACATTCTCAGTCTCAAAACACATTCTGCACTCTAATGCACATGTCATCCATACTGGTAAACACAAGTGGCAACAATCAAATACAAATAGAGAACACATGTCATTGATTAAACACAATCACTCAAAATTGATTTCACTTGTATCAAATGATGTGACACAACCAATATAAGCCAGTTTAGAGAGCAAACAGGTGGTTGAAGGTGGGAAGGAGAAAGTCTGAGAATGGATAGAAGAAACAATGTGAGAGGACAAGGACGAGGACAAGTGCGTATGCGAGGTGGGCGACGAGGAGGAAAAGGAGGAGCGCAAGAAAGAGGAAGAGGAGGATGAATAGGAAGAGGAAGACAAAGAGTGGAAATATCTGATGAAATTCGAGCAACAGTCATAGACCATGTTATAGTCCACGGACTGACAATGAGGGAAGCAGGACTTAGAGTGCACCCCAATTTGAGCCGATTTTCTGTGTCCACCACAGTAAGGACATTCAGAGAAGAGAACAGGTACAGTATGCTACTGTATTTTTGTAATTGCAAATTTACTATACTACACTATATGCAGCTGTTTCAATAGACATTTGTAAAGTTCATCACTGTATGTATTGTACTGCATGAATATTTTTTGTAACTGCACATCTACTTTTTGTAGAACTGCAAGGCTGCCACATGCAGGTGGAAGGAGAGCTATATTCACTCAGGAGCAAGAGACCGTTATAGTGGGCATGGTCCTTCAAGATAATTTAATACGACTCAGAGAAATCCAGGAACAAGACAACACACACTTCCAGGGAATCGACAGTGTGAGCATTTCCACAATTGACCGTGTCCTCCATCGTAACAGGATACGAATGACATAAGTATACAGAGTACCTTTTGAGCGCAACTCACCAAGGGTGAAAGAACTGCGAGCTCAGTATGTGCAAGTAAGTGTACATTCAGACACATTTACTGTAATCCAGATTGTCTACAGTACTGCCACATACTATGTGAATGACATTACTCTTCAGTACATACAATGTATGTGAATCAGAAGTGCATACAGCAGGCCTAATTGAACTCTACAATATAGCACTGTCTCTGTACAACTTACTAAATTCTACATACATTATATTGTATTCCTACACAGACAATATTTGAATTGGAATCCTTGGACAGACCCCATGAGTTAATCTTTGTCGATGAAGCAGGCTTCAATCTAACAAAGAGGAGAAGGAGAGGCCGAAACGTGATTGGACAGCGGGCCATTGTTGAAGTCCCTGGTCAACGAGGTGGCAATGTCACAATTTGTGCTGCTATCAGCATCCATGGTGTTCTACATCACCATGTTACACTCGGGCCATATAACACCCAGCATCTTCTAAGATTTCTGGCCAATCTAAGAGATATTTTATTTGAGCAGCAGGGTCAAGAGCTAAATGAGAATCCCATTCCCACCAATGTGATAGTGCTGGACAATGTCAGTTTCCACCGAGCTGCTCAGGTAAGGGAATGGTTTAACATCAAT